CATACTTTTAAAATCCTATTAAATCTTATCTTTATTCTTATCTTCATTTCCCATCAAGAGTTCAAGAGCAGAAATGCAGTTAAATAAGAAATTGGTAGTAGCACAGTTCCATCTTGGATAAGACTGAAATAGAATTCCTATGAACTTATCAAAAATATGAAAATGAGGCTGTCGATATGTATAAGTTAACCTAATGGGAAGGGAAGAGAGCAATTTAGGATTCCTGAGTGGAAATATATGAATAGTCATTTAAATATCCCAGAGCAATGATCTAGAGAGAATTGTTTATAAGATATATCAACTAAGGGAAAAGAGAAGTAGAAATTTAAACCAAGTTAAGTATATTAAGGATTGAGAATCAAGAGTGTTTTTTTTTTAAATTTAAATCCACTGGTGCTTAGGTGGGAGCTTGGCAGACAGTAGCTGTAGATAAATAAATAAAAGGAATAAAATAGGGAGAGGAACATAGATCCGTACCTCCAGAATTTCCGGGAGGAATATTAATTTCCTTAAAAATGAGACCATAAAAAGATGGAAGAATTATGTTAACAAATTAGTGATAAGGTATAATGTGGATCTTGGAGATTGACTCTACTGAATATGAAATATTTATTTACACCACAAGAATATTGGTTATGGAAGTGAGGGACAGTTGAACAGGATAGAGATGAGAATGGCAATTTGTTCACATGGAATCATCAAAACTATGAATATATGAGGGTGATATGAATAGAAAGCTGCTCGAGCCTATTTTATAAAGATAAAAAAAAAATAAAAAAATAACAAGAGATAAAAAAAAAATTCAACCATAACATGAAAGGTTGGGTGGTTCCCGACTATGGAGTTTTTTCTTTTCTCCTTTGATACAACCAGCATGCGAAGTTCTTGTTGTAAGAGAGCTATTTTTGTGTACATAAGGACAAAAGAGAAGTCTATGGCCGTTTCATGCTGTCCCATAGCCTTTTTTGCTGAATCTCACTTGGCAGAATCTGAAATCTTGTATTGATTTCTCTCTGTTTTTCTATTAAATTCACCTCTATTTTAGATGCTCTTATCTTTGCTCCTGTGAAAGGTGGTCCTTTATCATGTACATTACTTTCCTGTACCCATAAACATGAATCAGTTTAAGATCACGAATCACAGTCTTGGTTATGATTTTCTTTGCCTACCTTGTAATGCTGCCGTGCAATGTTTTCATGTAGAAATCCAGTAATGATATTCTTATTCGAAGTTTTCAGCTAGCATTTTCCTTAAGGAGCATATCTCTCCAAGGAGGTAGGTTCTTATGGTTTCATTTGAATTTTAGTATGCTTTGTTTCTGTTTTGTCTAATTGAAAGCATTTATTCTCTTTGGGAAAACAATGAAGTATGAAAAAATTGTTTATTGACTTTCTTTGTTTTCATTCTAACTACATACAAAATTGTGATTAGTATGCTATTTGGTCGAGCAATTGCAGAAGTTACGAAATGAGGCTATAAATTTTCATCCATTTTACCATGTGTCATCCCAAATGAACCCTCATCTTACCTTATCCCCCTCCTTCCCCATGAACTCGACAGTTACATATTACTTGTTAGTGGCAAGTGCCTTCCCTCTCCAAATTATCACTCGTTAAAACTGTTCATGTTTAAGAAACAATGAGTTTGCAATTTAAATGATTTTCAACTCATCATATGAATAGTTGCAATTACTATGTTAGATTTAGATTGATTAAGGATAACCTCTGATCCTTGTGTAAGAAGGACATCAAATTTTCCTTTTGTCAGGGGATTACTCACTCTGGCACATTTCTGTTCTGAACATATAAACTCCTATAGTTTTGTTCAAAATCTAGCAAAACATTGATGTTCCTTCTTTTATTAACTTGACAACGTTTATTGTCTTTACCAAAAGTTGAGCTCCCTAAATCAATCTTATTTCTCATGCTCACAGGACCACTTCAGCCATCTCGCCGCAGGTCTCTTTTCACCTTGGCAACATCTATGATACTTTTCTTATCGAAAGCCTACAAATTTATCCCTCTTGTCACTTCTGCCAAGGCTGCTTTGACGGAGAAAACAGTATGTCCAGCAGCATTAGTTTGTGACCTGTGCTTAGCATAGGCTTGTTCACTAGATGCAGAGTGGTTCAAGAAATTTTAAGCATAGATAATATTATGTTTGACCAATGACCAGTTTACCAGGAGCAAAAAGCTAACCTAGAGAATGCTTCAACAGGTTGATCCTTTTCTCCAGCTGGTAGATGATAGCAAGTTGCAGGCTAAATTAGTAGATCCTAAGGTGAATGCTTATGGATCAAAAGAGGATGATGAAAATGCCCTAAAGTCTCTTTCGGTAATTAAAATTAGCGAGGATCAATCTACAGAATCTTTTGCCTCCAAGATTGTGAAGAATTTGGGGAAGCTATCCAATGTATAATTTTTTACCTGTTTATATGCTCTACTCCATTTTTATCCTATACTATGGTACCCCATTCAACTTTTGAGTTCTACTGCACAGACTGAATCATCAAATATAAAGGAGCAATTGCTTAAAGATTTTCTTCCTGATGATGTTTGTCCATTGGGAGCCCAGCTAGTTACAGAAACCCCCGGGCAAATCTACCAATTAGATATGAACGAAAATGAACAATCTGAGAAGGTACTTAACATTCAGAAATTACAGTTCACTTTTATCCTTTTAGATACCTTATTTATTTACTTATACTGTAAATCTGCAGGCCGAGTATCCAATGTTTAAAATAGATGATGACTGTCCAACGGATTTATTGGTAAATCAGACAGATCCCTGCTCCCAGCTGACAATAGAAAGTCCCTGTCTCCTGAGTGTAGATCAATTTATGGCTTCGGTATGTTAGTGTTTCCATTTTTTTATTATTTCCTTGTCTCTTCAAAGTTATTCTCGTTCCCGTTCAGACAAAATCTTTATGGGGGAATATCAGCCAAGTTACGGCTCTTCCTCTTGTATTAGTTTTAATTATGACAAAATGGAGCACATAGTACCTTCTCTTTCCATTATTAAGTGTCTTTTAAATTTGTTTCTTATGTATTACATAGAGGACATGGGATGCTTTTAGTAGGAGATGCGAAGATATCTAGAAATCCTTGCATCAGAGAATGACAAGCACGATAAATATACCAATATGGGTTATAGGCATTTAAACACTCTTATTTAGGAGAAAGTGCCCCAATAAAAGTAACTTGTGTTAGATAAGGACTAAAATGAAACAAAAGTTTGAGACTGAAAGATGGAAGCTGTGATTTGCTTCTAGATTTTCACCTTAGCTCATTGGAGAATATGGTCGTTCAGCTACCACAACAAGAAATAAAACCTATTGCCATGAAAGGATAATCTACTTTAGGTTCTTAATTAACTTTGGGAATTATGCTCAATCAAGAAGTTATTTTTTAGGTCGTGTGAGCATAGATTCTAAGTATCAGTTGATGGACTGAACATATTCAATCCTCAGTAAACATAATAGTTGAACCATTCTATATTTTTTAGCAGATCTTCTATTGTTGGATTATAATTTATGTTGAGTGTACAACAATAAGTTCATTGCAGGCTTAAACAAATTGGAAGAATCTTTACAATACCTATAGTTTCCGTTGGGACATTAAGTATTGAACTTCAGAGTTATGCTATGGATCTGGTTTTACCATGCTACATATCAGTGATGTAAAATTGAATTAACATTTCCTAAAGAAGCTACTGTACCTTTTTTTTTTTTTTTCTAAATTTGCTGGTGAAATTATTGAGTGAATGAAAATATAATGTTTTGTATTACAATGTTATAGATTCAAATCTCCAATGTCGCCCTATAGGAAGAACTAAAAGCTCATTGATTATTTAAGTTTTGCCAGCCAATATGAAAGCAATTTTTTCCATTAGCTTGCAACAGTTTGTGTCGATAGTTTCCTAGAGTGCTGATACATCTAGCGTCAATTTTTCTCTCGTGTTTACTATCTGTAATATATACAAAAGGAATCTTGTTTTCTTTCTGTGATATATATGTAAGGAAGATGGTTTTAGAAGTCTGGCCAACTCCGGATCAGATTCATTTTCTTTAAGTCATTTTATTCTCTTATCCAAATTGATTTTGCTTGGCAGTTTCAAAAAGTGTGTTATCTGATTTAAAATTTGGCGATCCTCGGGTTCGGATACTCATTACTTCTACTTTTGACATTAAGTTGGTTGCTCTAATCCAAAATAGCACAATAACGGTTTCATACTCTTTCTTTTTGGTTATGCAAATGAAGTAATTTCACTTATTTCACTTCTCACAAAGTGTCTACTTCATTATGCTTCATGTTCCATATTATTACTTCATTTGCTGAGAATGTTGAGTGAAAATGGAAACTATATTTTTTACTTGGAACTGCGAATCAAAAGGTCAACTCTGGGAAGCATTGAAGAACTTAGATATTTAGTCCAATGCTATATGGTGTTAGAGGACTACGTGGTTCTTAATGAATTTTGAGAACTGTGTGAATAATTGAGAATTATGAGCTGTATGAACTGACCCTCTTATTCTTGCAATCAGTACTTGGATGAATAGCTGACGAAAAACCTTAATCATTACAATTTACAACTTACTGAAGATTGACAATATATGTCTATGACACGAACCATTAAATTGGGTGTTAAAACTTTTCTGGAACTCAGAAATTGGGATACATTTTGATAGCATCGCATCATTTGTACTGACTGTGTTTCCTGAAGTCACCAAGTTGATGTTGTTGCAGATGTCGGAGTCAACAAAGCAGGTTGGACGGTTTTCTTTCTCGGATCCCTCTCACATGGCATATAATGATATGGCAAGCCAGTGTGAGGCTCTTCAGATCGAAAAGCAGCAAGTAATGTCAAATTTTATGAATGCACAACTGATTCAAGAGAATCCAGTCAGCTTCTCTGGCCAGGATGACGCCCAGGCACTTGACAATCCATTTTATGAATCCGGATTTTTTATGGTGAGATATATCTGAAAAGTAGACCATAATTACTTTATGAACATTTACCGAATTATACAGTCTTACTCTCCTTGAGTTTGTTATGTTGCGAAAGTAATATTTTATGATGAGTTAAAATTGTCAAATACTTAACATTCCATCCATTATTTTGTGCAGCATTTCCTGTGGATTTTAACGTCTACTGAATATATTTTGCAGACACCATCTATTGGAAATATTCCAATGACATGTCCATCCGAATTTCAGCATCAGCCCGATTCCTTCCTCTTGCCAACTTCAAGTCCATATGACAACTTTTTGAAGGCGGCTGGGAGTTGATATTAATTGGTTGCAATTTATCGTGAAAGGTTGGCAGTAGATTTTTTTTTCATTTTTAACAGTTTCGGGTTATTCATCGAGTCATTTGTGTTCACCGTTTTTCTTGGATGCTGTTTCTTTCACTTGAAGAGCTGCAAATCAATCGTATAAAGCATTGACGGTGTCCCCTTAAGGCCTGGTGGTTCTGCACTCTTGATAGTTGCAGTTAGAGGGAAGACTTGGTATCTTTCATGTTTTTGAATGTATAGATGTACAAGTGATGCTACCAGATAAACTATATGATTGAACATCGAAAAAGGCAGTTTTGGCAAATAAATAGTGAAAGGAAACTTGAACAAAGAGCACTCTTTGTTTTCAGATTAGAAAGGCCAATCTGAATTGCTATTTAACATAGAAATAACTATATGCTTCTGTTCTGTTCAATGATTCAATCGGACAAACTGCAAAACTAGACATTATAAATGGACAATAAACTTACAAATTGGCAGGATCATACAGCATAACTGACGACACTACCCAAATAAAAGCAACTTAAATAATAATAAGACATGTAATTAAAAGATGAGAACCCATAATTCCTCATCTCAATTCATATAAGAATCGGAATAGAAAAGAAAGAAAATTATTACTATCTGAGAATAGACATCCATGCACAGTAAGCACAGACTATCTTTTGTGACATATACACATATACAGCAAATGAGAGGCACATCAAAGTTATGTCTTTCCAATCACCCTTCTGCTTTGGACTCAAATTATCCATCACCACCCCTCCAAGTTTTTCCATACCAAAATAAAGCTGCTGCACTATTCCCTTATTCTTTTCATTACTTTCCTTCTTCGTTTTCGCATTAGACGGATCGCGGTTTTGGCTACAAGCTGAGATGAATTTTCTTGAATTTTTTACGGAATTGAGTTGATGATCTGGAATTGGACATAAATGGCCTATTGATAGAGCAGCCATGGAGGACATGAAAAAGGGTTATAGAAATGGGAATTTTTGAAGTGGATTAATCATAGAAATGAATGATTTGGGAAGAAGAAAAGTGCATCTGACTTGATTTGGAGAAGAAAATATCTCCTCCGGAAAGAAAGTGCGCAAAGAAATGGATAAGGCAAGTGTATGGGTCTCCTTTTATGACAAGGCAAGGTGTGCAAAGAAAATATCTCCTTTTTTGACTTACACAAATATTCTTTGGCTTAATTTTACAAAATACAAACGGTCACTGAAATTTAAAACTTACGTTAACGATCACTGAAGTATCATTCGATTTCAATAATGGTCACTGAATGACCTTTTTCATTTTAATTAGAACTTAATGAACCAAAATAGTTGAAACTTGAACCTTGAGGACCTAAATCGTAAAATTGACAATAAAACCCTCAAAAACCATTTCTTCTTGTGAAATTAACCTATATAAGGTGAATTTTTTTTATTATTTATTTGTTTCTTTCTTTTTTTTCTTTTTTGTAAAACGTGAGAGGGACAGAGACAAAGAAAATAAGAACATAAAAAAAATCAATAAAATTATACATGAATTCTTGAAAATATATTTACAAAATAGTATAAAACCATAACTTCAACTTAAAATAAATAATAAATTTTTATAATTTCTATTTGTCCATTTAGATTGTGTCTGGGAGCAATTTGGCTGAATTTAAATCGATATTTTTACCGTTTGAGAAGGTAAGTGGAACCCAGAATGTAGTGACAATTAAAATGGTCAAATGTTGTGGGCATGCAAAATGACATGAGTGCCCCCACATGTTTTAAACTTGTCCGGCAATGAAGGGTAGAAATGACAATTGACATAATATGGTGTGTATTTGAATGGTCAATTGCTGTGGGCATGTCAGTTTTGGCAGAAATTTCCAATTTTAGTTTAAGCCATTGTTTTGCAAATTTATAAATGGTTTATGAAGAGAACAATAAGAGAAATATAATAGGTCTCACGCAATTTTTGGATAATAAAAAATAATTTTTAAATGAATAGTTAAAAATTTTAATTGAATACCATTTATAAAATTTATATCCAATCAGAGGCTAAGAAATAAATATAAATTTGTCAAAATTGCGATTTAGGTCCTCAAGGTTCAAGTTTCAATTATTTTAGTTCATTAAATTCCAATTAAAATGAAAAAGGTCATTCAGTGACCATTACTGAAATGGGATGATACTTCAGTGACCGTTAGTGCAAGTTTTAAATTTCAGTGATCATTTTGTGATTTTGATGTAACTTCAGTGATCATTTGTGAAATTAATCAAATATTCTTTTATTTCCAATTTATCCTAAATTTATATAGGCTGGCAGCATTTTAATGGATAGATATTCCCGTTTCATAAATTTTTGAATTATATTGAAACAGCTCCAAAATTGCTTACTTAGTGTTTTACGCAAAGAATTAAATTACCATATATGAAAATGGATCGTTTTGCCAGTGCTATTTACTTCTTGATGATACCATTATTTTTCAAGCCTAAACTGACTTAGATAAGAGTTCCAGGCCACATATCTGCCTTTAACTCTACTTGATTTCACTCTATCCCTAGAATTGATCAAGTTGTCAAGGATCCCGACCTCTTCTTAGGCCTTTTCCATGGGGCGTGAAAGGGTCCACCCGTGATCATGATCTTTTCTCCGCTCATATTGTCTAATATGGGGGGTCAAGGGTCCATCCGGACTAGTCTGACCATTTTTTTAATAAGAAGGTCACACACAATCCAAATTGAATCTTTATAATAGAACATGTGAAAATTAGGGTAGACCAGAGTTTTTAAATTCAAATTTCAAAATTAATATTTAATAGTTTTCTTTTCAAAAATTAGATGATAAATGATAATTTTAAATATTAATAATTGTATTACAAAATATTTCACTCATCCCACCTAATCTATACCCAATCATCCACACAAAACCTAATTATTTTCATTCTCTCTATTATCTCTCCTCTCTCTATTCCACCTGTAGCCGTCACTAGAAACCATTGTCAGAGAGCGCACAATCTGTTGTTGCTGTTGAGCGTTTCTCCTTCTTGCTCCATCCCATATTAATTTTTTTTTTCAATTTTGGTTGCCAGCGTTTTTTTGTGTGGTTCGATTGTGGTGTGACGTGATTGCAGTGTTGCATTGTGGTTGTGGTTGTGCTGTGCTATACTATGTTGTGTGTGGTGGTGTGCAGTGGTGGTGGTGTGCGTTGGGGAGAGAGTGTCCATTTATTCGGATGGTCATGGTGGTGCGGGCAATGGTGTTCGATGGTAGTGTAGATAGTGGTGCAAGTGATGGTGTTCGATAGTGGTAAAGATGGTGTAGTAGTGCAGTCGAGGTGTTCGACAGTGGTAAAGAAGGTATAGATAGTGGGTGCAAGCGATTGTGTTCGATAGTGGTAAAGATGGTGTAATGGTGCAGTCGAAGTGTTCGACATTGGTAAAGGTGTAGATAGTGGGTGCAGTCGATTGTGTTTGACGGTGGTGAAGATGGTGGTTGTGGTGGTCACGATGGTTTTAGTAGTGTTTGGATGGTGGTGGTGATGTTGACTGCAGTGTTTGAGATGATGATTTTGCTATCGGGAGGTGTTGGTTCTAGTAGTGGTGGTTCTGGCGGTGATACGGCTGGTGACGGTCACAAGTGTTGGTGACGGTCATAAATGATTTGGTTGATTGTAATTAATAAATTAGTTGATGTGTGACCAATAAATAATGTGTGATTTAAAATTTTGTTAATTTGTAATCAGTAATTTGATAATTTGTGACCTAAACATATTTTGTGGTCAATTAATTTGATATTTTGTGACTTAAATAAGTTGTGACTTGTAAAATTTGTATTTTTTGACCAAAGAATAATATATAACCTATTAATTTGATAAATTTGCAATCGAGAAATTATTTGTAATCAATTAATTTGATAATTTGTGATCAAATTGTATAGAATTGTGACATTATATTTAATTTATAAAATATACTTTTAATTAATTATTTTTAAAACGAAATTTAAAAATATCCGATTTTTGAAATTTTAAACCTTTTATCTTAGTTTTGAAATGATTTATAGTTAAATTCTTAGTTATGAATTTTTCCCATAGAACATTTTCACATAAGTTTATAAAAATACGTGATCTTATATTCATGTCTTACTTTCTACTTTTTGAGTTGGATATGAATTAAAGTTGTCCATTTGAAAGTGACATATTGTTTCACTTTTTTAATTAAATGATCCAATCATCAATTTTTACATTTGGTTACCTCCTCCAAGGTTCTAGAGGCAAGGGTCTTGGAGGTCCAGAATTTAGTCTGACAAAGTTGGGACACTTGGGTATCAAAAAAAAAAAGTTATCGGTTACTCACTCACTTTTACACAATGTTATACATTCGTCATCCATCTCAATTCTGTTTGTCCATGTAGGCAAAAAAATTCACATGGTGGATGAATATCTTACGTGACAATAAACTTTCGAAATTCGTATAAATCGTTTGCATGCTCTATTTTCTTCAAGTTTTTCCTTCTATAAATTCCATCAACTAATAATTATGAACTGAGTGGGTACCCCAAAACAATATACCAAATATTTACTATATCTCATATTTCTCATTTACAACTTACACTTCGAATACAATTTGTTCTTCTGATAACACTACAGAAAAGTTGAAAGATGAGCTTTTTATCCGTCCTAAAAGAGTGTAAAAACCATCGTCTCGTAAGTCACTGTAAAAGATCCCATCATAAAGACAACAGTTTTCTACGAATTTTGTAGAATAAAAATCACAAACAAGTCGAATAATACGAAAAAAAATTGTTGAAAAAAATTGAAGAAAATAGAGTGAGAAAAAATAATTAGCAAAAATTAATCCAAAAATCATGAAAATCATATAAAAAATCATACTGTATAAAATTGAATTGATATGAATGATGGATGGATGGATAACATTGTATAAAAATGAGCGAGAAACATTTACTTTTGATGTTTAAGTAGTAACTATAAGTAAATGTTAGCGATTGCTTACTTAATTAACTATCAAATTTCAACATCATTTATTGCCACGTAGGATTTTCATCCATAACGTGGATATTATTTGCCCACGTGGATGAACTAAATTGAGATGAATGAGTAACTTTATGTAAAAATGAGTGAGCAATTAGTAACATTTTATTTTAATTGAGCAAGTACTAATCAAAATTAGAAGAAAATAATTAATCTTATAATCTCTTCCCTTTGCGTTCTATTGCTATTGCATCAAAAGATAAAGTACACATTTTCAACACTACAAGTCAATCACTTAAACTTGAAAACAACAATCTTAATTTTTCGAGTTCGCTATAACCTCGAATTTGTGGAGCAAGTATTATGTAAATGTCACGAACTTGATATTCATCAAGATTGTCTGTACGGCCAAATGTTGGGAATGGTCGATTCAATTTCAACAGTAGACTCGTTGCAATATTAGTTAATTCAAGAAGGGAACTTGCATGGTAAAAAAAATAATGCTACTTGTACATTATTTGTTTGACATGAAGTTTGACACTCCATGTATTTTCAAATGCAAATGGATGGGAGTGTATTTTATTTTAAAACTGTCCAATCATGCCACAACATGTGACACAATGTCAAACTTGATNAGAATTGATCCAGACTCAGAATGAATGCTAACTATATGCTTAATACATGCAATGCAACCATCTAACTGACTCTAAATTAAATTTCACTAGACATTGGCACCCATATTTAAGATCCCGTGATCCCCAATTCATAATAGCGTTCAATGTTCTCTTGTACAGCAATGTGATTATAAATTTATAATAATAATAATGCTCCATTTTCTCTAATACATAATGTGATATGAGTGCATCCTACGATCTCTAATTAAATATATGTAAATTTTATGTTTGATCATCCTAAGCAAGAATGTGAATCAACGATGGGAATTTAATCCTATCCCAACTGGTTTACTCATGAAACAACAGAGAAAGTT